ATTTGAACTGGGAGTTAAAGGGTTAAATTTCGTTTGATCAAAAACATGAATGGCAATTGAGGAAATTAGCTAGCACAATTCAAGTTTCCCCTCTTTACGTATTCTGTGATAGTTTTCTATCACATGGTAAAGTTTACAGTTTCACTTTCTTCTGTTCACTTGTTTGTTTGCTTTCCTAACAATCTTAGCTATTGTTGCCAACAAATGCGAGGAGCATATACATGAAAATGTGTACAGCTAATAACACTTTAATCCCTGAGAGTGACTAGCATCTAATTTCTCCATTCAATATCACCCCTGAGTCGCACATTAAGGTCATGAGAATAAAGGAAATGATAATCAACTGAAGAACCTCTTGATTGTTAAACAAATTCTCCTTGCCAGCAATTACTGTTCAACAACATCCTGACCAGTTTGATTTCCCGCTCAAAACGCGGGTGGCTAGCTCACGTGAAGCCCTCGTGCAATGCCTAACCGTGTGCCCGCAGTACGCTACACTGCAGCTCGACGTCCGAGTATGCGCACTTTATGGTCATCTGACGGTGTCTCTTGGCACACACTTATGTGGTATCCAACTTACGCACGCAATCGCGCCTGCGCATTACCTTCTCCCTCGCCCTTCCATTACGTGATGGCTAAGATAGTGCCCGTGGTACAGTTGGCCGCGCATGCTAAAAGTAGCACCTTGTACGGTCGTACGGTCGTACAGTCGTACGGTCGTAAAACCAAATTTTTTCGGCTTGATGGGTTACTACTATTTTGTATAGTTATGGGGCTACGCTCTGCGAGCTCCGCTATTAACTCCGCCCACGCTCCTTTAAATCGTGACGATGGCTGCTTGCTTCCTAACGCCTATTTACACCTCGTGAGAAAAAAGGCAGCTAATTAGCGATCATAGAAAAGGACTTCTTGTTGCAGCGTTCAGATCACCCCTGATGAAGGCACTAGACAGGCGTGTTACATTCATTAAATCTGTTAACCAGAGTAGCATCAAACCATGTCTGATTGTCCACCTAGTTGCCGAGTGAACTTTAATAAAAATTACCCTGTTATAAGTTCAATTATACACAAGTCAGAGGGCTAGATCTTAATTCCTTTTTGGCGAAATCAGTATTTTTTTGCTTCCTTGTATCTCTCAACAAAACGAGTTAGATCTTTCTTTCACAACGTAGTTTGTAAATTCTACAAGACGAAAGATCCTATGATTATATCATTGTGACTAAATCCTAAGATTCCAAGTGCTTTTGCTTATCAAATTGTTACAGCATAGCAAACTGAAAGTGACACAACTGAGGTTAGTTTTAGATAGTAGGACGCATTTCCCTACATTGTGAACTAAAATGTTGCTCGGGCTATGAACATAAGCTTTCTGTATAAGCATGCTTTGGCTCTAGTTCACTTCAAATCTTCCACTTATTTCATCCTCGGTGATGTTAATATATGTCCTCTGAAATTAATGAATCAAAGAGAAGAAGATATTCAGGTTAGATGCACGAGTGAAGCTTGAAATGAAAAAAAAATGGTAATCATATAAAAACAGCAGATAGTAAAGAAAATAGTGACAAGGCGGTAGATGTAAAAGAGATAGAGAAAAAACTCGTGAGATACCGTTAATTAGGAAAGCAGTGTGCACCGTTTGAACCACTCTAATCTTACCAACCTTTTATCTGAGAAATGCTTCTACTTATGTTGTCTTCCTTTGTAGAGCATATTTGGTCATAAATATTTTTATAGCCGTTTGTGCAATGGAGAGTGTTTCAATATTTGTCGCTGCTTCATTGATCTCGTATGACTCTTCTCTACAGAAGTCTACTCATTTGAAAACTTAAAGATTATATTATGTAATCTTATCAAATGGAATCAACATAATGTGGCTAAATATAATTTAGACAAAGTGAAATTGCGAGCTAATGTGGTCAGCGGTCTCCTCATCAAGCGTGCGTTATTGTGGGGTGACCAGTTCCCAAACTCATCTATTGGTGATGAGTTTAATTACTTAAATGATAAAAATAGGAAAGAATGGAAGGAAGTGCCTAAATTCAATTTCACTCACCTTTACTTCTCGCAAGAAGTATTCCAGCTGATCTACGATGTCAGCAAACGAAGGTCTCATCAAAGGATTCTCGTTCCAACAAGATCTCATCAGCGTATATCTACAAATAAGTTGCATCATTCATTAATTTTTTGCACCTATTTATTCATTCAACTCAAACAATCTTAACACAACCAAACTGCAGAGCATCGAACAGCGACATGTAACCTAGATGGAGTTCCAAATCTAAAAAGACACAAACCCTTTATTAATTCCTCTCCCAGGTGAAATGGTTTTATTTACTTGAATAATGTCGAAATTGTTAACTGATAGAATAAATGTAAACACATAAATACACATGCTTGAAAATGATCGAGAAGCTTACAGTTCTTCCGAGCATTGATGGGGAAGTGACATCCGGTAGCCCGTAGAAAGCCGACTTACCAAGGCAAGTGGCGTTGGAATGTCAGGGTATGGTGAGTCACCTGTTAAGCAAAATAACTAATAAGAGACTTTGCCTAACAACAGTAACTAGACCTTAATTGATTATGTGGTTTTAAGCTGTCTCTCCCTCTGACACATCTGTTGACATATAGCCAGTGACCTCGAAATTGCAAATGAAACCTGATAATATTATTGTTGTTCCTAAAATATTTCAACTTATTAAAATAATCCGTTTGATCCATCGTGATTGACTTATGGAATGACATACTATTTAACTAATGTTCAAAAAATTGCCTAATTTTCCCCCCTTCAAAAACCTCTCCCAGGTTATAAAAGAAAGTATTTTGGAATTCTGGAACCAATGAGAATTTGTACGCATCCCCGACTCTTTTCCCGTCGTCAGTACTCACTTTTATAATGACATTTCTACTTCATCAAATATTTAATGACCTACCATAAGTTGCCATTTCCCAAAGTAATATGCCAAACGACCACCTTCAAATGGGCGGAAAAAAAAAAAAAACGCCAAAAAGCAACGATTGATGACTTATTTTCAGTTAAGTATACACTTGCTGACGCTTGATTGACATGGGAACGAATTTGTCTGAAATTAATATTCTGACCACAAGTTGAAGAGATTCGCGTGGCATTTTGGAAGTTTCGCATTATTTAAGCGTTTTGCGGGAAAATTAAGTCATTCAAGGTTGGTCAGTCTTGACCACTTTCTTTTTTTTATTTGTTGTAATTTTGGTATATGAAATCTCTGTACAACATCGTTACAATCGTTAATTAGTAGTGAAACCAGGTTAGTTTATCCTTTCCTGGGGGTATTGTGCTGCTGCATTAGATGAGGAATACGTTTTCACGCATTTTTGGCCACATCTCAAAAGTGGCTATTCAGTGGTTTTTCTATTTCTAGAACCTTTAGTTTCAGGGTGCACATGTTAAGAAAATAGAGAAAGAGGTTTCTCGTCTTATCACGAGCATGGGACAAAGGAAAAATTCCCCATGGGTCGTCCCCCAGGTCTGAGGTTCGAATCCTGATGGGGATCAGAGCTTTTTACCGAGCGTAAAACTTACCACCCTTCCCATTCTATTTGAAAATTTACAGTTGAAAATAAAAACAACAATAACAACCAACAATTATAGTTGAAAGTGTCTGAGAGTCATTAATTATCATGCTTTGACACTGAACACTACATATTTTTGACGATGGCTTTTCAGACAATGCGATCAAGCCTGGCTTGGAACAATCCTAAAACGGTTTCGTTCCAAGATGCTCTACGTTTGCATCGGGGATATAACAACTTTGTATACTACTTTTCGTGTCACTTACACATCGCTCTTGGATGTATAAACTCGATCTCGCAGAGATTCTAAAGACGACCATCTCCATGGAACTTTACCCTGTGAAAATGGGAGGTGTGCATGATCTTGTAACATTAGCTTGTATAAACTGGAATGAACAAGCCAACAAGTCACTACGCCAATCTGAGGATTTTCCATCCGTTTGTCTGAATGTTAGTTATACCATAGATCATAAATAAGGTAATCGAAATCAATTGTGGCAGGATATATATGGGGCCATTTGTCTGTCTGGTTTAGAGGGAAAGAATTTAATACAGTCGGTATTAGTAAAAGTAGTTAGAAAAGTAACAATTAGTGGCGGAGTACTTACGCATGAGGTCTTGATGTATAATCCATCCTCTGTGATTTCCCTTGCTAATCCAAAGTCTCCGACTTTTGCCACCATGTTTGGATCGATAAAAACATTTCTCGCGGCAAGGTCGCGGTGAATGCACTGAAAAAAAAAGTTACCATATCGATTCTCTATCGTGCAAATATTCTCGGATAGTAAATAACTGAGTTAAATTTCCATCAGGAGCTTCGCTAGGAAAAGATCCGGCTAACCTTCTGCTCTTCTAAATGTTTCATTCCCAAGGCCACATGTAGAGCAATTTTAAGCAGCTGTCGGTCATTCAGCTTACAGTGCACATTCGCATATTCGCTACCTCCGTCACCCTTGCACCTCAAAAAGCTTTCAAGGCTACCACCATGGACCAATTCGGTGACGACAAGAATTGTCTCTAAGGAAAGAAAAGTTGGCTATCAGGAACAAATTTGCTGCTACAAATTGATGGGAACTCGACGACGGGAGAAAGCAGCCTCAAACCAGCCATAAGCATGCACGTTAGGGAGTACCGCGGGTTGGCGGCATCATTTTTGCAAAAGTTACCAAATACCTTTGGTAGATTAGATAAAGACAAAAAAATGAGTTTGCAATTTTAAGTAGCGCTCTCGCTGAGAGCGGTCCTCTCTACTTCCCGTCGGAAAAAAAGTTTTCCTTCACTACTTGCCCATAATAAAGGGTTTAGGACACATATTTCAAAAGTAGTTTATTTGTTCTCCTATTTCCTTTTTGCGTGGTCGCAAGCTAAAATTGATTTTGGCCATACCACCCGTGTGGAGAGCGATCGAAAGTGTAAATTTCACAGATTTTCTTCAGCGCGAAGCGACTGCATTAATACAGCTCACGGAATTCGCTCTCGCTACAAATTGTATGATGTATTCAGTCAGTGTACAGACAAAAGATGGAAACTTCACCTGAAATATTTTCCATTACAGCGTTACCTGAGGAGACCTCTTCGATCTTAATTAATATTTGCATATCAAAAATTTACCGATTTGTATGAGAGAATTCTCAAAATTCAGGCGTAAATCGGGGCAAAAAAGCATATCAGTGCATAGCATATACTCCCGCAGGTATCTGTCTAACTTTCATTCACTAACATCTTGAAAACACCACAAATCCATGTGTTTGCTGAATTGTGCTCGTCTCAAAGCTCATTTGCATAATTCTTTGCATAGTTCCTTGGAGATGTTCAGCATTAGAATCTCTGCGAGATCGAGTTTTCTTGCAACCTGATTGCCCTGCCCTGTAAACTTCATTACATGAATAAACACATATTTTTTGTGTAGATTCGCAAGAATATTATTTGGATAGTCGAAATAAGTCTCACCTCCTTGAATCCATGTTCCAATTAGGTTGACAATGTTGGGATGTCGTCCAGCCTGTTTCAACGTTCTTATCTCATTCAGCAACGCGGCTTTCCCAAGTGTGCAAGCATTACCTGAAGAAAAAAAAATAAACAAAGGTCATAATTATTCATTAGTTAGTTACGTTGTGTTGTACGTGGAATGCAAAGAAAACGAAGAATACTGAGAATACACTGCCAGTCTAAACACCTTGCTACAGATATTAAGTTTAAGAATTCAGATTGCAATGGGGTAACATACAATAGTCCCAAAAATACGTATAATCGAATTTTATTTACTGATCCTCCCACACTGTCGAGAAAACAATAACTGAGTAAAGATTTAAGCCAATAGAATAGGATCCTTATGCATACCTTTCAACTTCTTTACTGCAACATCAGTAATGCTACCATTCCTTCCACCATAGCGACCTTTGTAAACGATTCCATATTCTCCTTCACCTAGTACCTCATCGAGTACTTCGAGAGTACCTTGGTTTTTTTCGCTCTCCTCTATCTCAGTGAAGAGAGATGTTTGTATTTCGTCGCTATCTTTGTCACTATCCATCCCACTGTCTTGATACGAAATAATGTTGACATCACAGTGACCACAGCCATCTTCGGCACTTTGGTGACCATTTCGTGAGTTAAACAACTCTTCTGCATGGCCTTTTTGATCACAGATGGAATTTAGGAAATGTTTATCTCCGACATCTAGTGGAGTCGGAGTCCTTCTTTCCTCAGACGATACTCTCGGTATCGAGTCAACTCTCCAGTCGTCATGCGTATGCTTTTTATTGTTTAGTTGCACATTGTCATTGCTATTTTTAACAACTAACAACGGAGTGATAGCATTTACCTCTAAAAGCTCACTTTCTTCCGTATCAGCATTCATATTTATCAGTATCACCTCAGCCAAATCTTTGTTGTCTATGCAGGCCACATAGATCTCTTCCGCAACTTCATTGCCCTGATATTGATACAGACAGAAGTGCAACATGTTCAACTGAGAGCAGTTTTAAGGAGTTAGACATCGTTACAAATGCCCTGGCGATCGAAATGCCCAACGGTTCAAAACAAAAAGGATAGCTTATTCTCCGCTTTGAGTATTCTTGCGAATTTTATTTAACAGCGATTATAGTTAGAAAACAGTTTTGTGGGCGTTTGATCAAGTTAACTTTTAGTTGCTATGAAGTTCGATTGCACTCAACAAGTGTTACCTCATGATTTCTTCTTGCACGTCGATACAAAAACGCCATAATGCATCCGCTCATGAATGCAAGTATTGCGCCACCACACACACCAAGTGCAGTAACCAGGGGAACAGAACGTTGTTGTTCCTTTATTGGCGGGGCTGTAGTTGAAGAAGCTTGTTGAAATAAGAAGAACAATGAAAAAACAGTGAGATTGAACACTGCATGGAACTATTAAGTGCATTATATGGTGCTGCTGGTCGTTTCGTCTCATAGCGTGAAAAACTAAAACCTGATTATCTGCCTACTAGGATTTGCCTTAAGCGAGGAAATATTAAATTTCAACTTTCATTTAATTGCTCAGTCGGTAAAAATGATGTTTTTCTTCAATTTAGATAGAGTAAAATCCATACTGAGTTCTGCTACATGATTGACCCTCAAGGAAAATGAATGCAAAGCGTAGTATCAACATACAACCTCATCTAACTTTTTATGAACAGGAACGTGAGATTTGGAAGCTATTTCCTCAGCGCTGCTCTTTGTGATACATATGTCCAGTATTCAAGAGAACTGTTCTAAAACACTTTCTGTTAGTGTCTTTTGAAAGCATTTCTTTCAAGTACTTTCATCGCCCTCTCGGAAGAAATGGTCGTTTCATGACAAAATTTAATGCCAAGATAAGAAACATTGAAATAGTAAGCCCACGCCTTATAGAAGTTCTACCATGTCCTATCGATTTTGCTCATGCTTCTGTCTTTTTTCTATCCATGTTACTTATCCACTAGAGCACCCTGACTTCTCTTAGGTATGGTAGTTAGTCCATGGAAGATAAATACCAATACGCAGCAAATTTTTAGTACGCACAATTCAGTGCACAAACCACTTGTCATAGAGAAACATAGAGCATTTGTCTCACCTAGATCCTTTGTGGACAAGAATGCCGACTTTGATGCTTTTTCTCCCGCGCTGTTATTTGCAAAGCAGTAATATTTTCCATTATCTTCCCTCTTTACACCCTTTATTACCAGCTGGCTATGAATTTGCTCGTCGTCGAGGAAAATCTCAGCTACTCTATTCCGGTTGTAAGATTGTACAGCAAGTGTGTCATCGTTCTTTATCCATGTGATAGACGGCATGGGATGACCTTTGGCGGCGCAGTCAAAGGTTGCGTTGAAACCAGCGTCAACAGTTTGGTTCTTAGGATCCTCAACAATCTCTGGTGCCAGGGAAGCTTACACCGGCAATTTCAGATGACGATGGATATTTTTTTTTGAAGAAAGAAAGCAAAATTTGAGAAGCTGTCAGTGAATAAAGATCAAGTAAAGCGGGGAAGGTAGGTAATTAAGGAAACGCTAAAGCGATAGAGCGAGCTTCGTCACGGTAAAGATATATTGAAATAGTAAGCCCACGCCTTATGGAAGTTCTATCATGTCCAATCAATTTTGCTCATGCTTTTTTTTTTTCTACTCATGTTGCTTATCCACTAAAGCATCCTGACTTCTCTTAGATATGGTAGCTAGTCCATAGTGTTAAATACCAATGCGCAGCAAATTTTTAGTACGCACAATTCAGTGCGCAAACCACTTGTCACCGCGTTTTCCACTTTACCTTAGTATTATTTTTAACATGAAATATTTTCAAGCAAGCTGATTTAGAGAGAGAGAGAAAGTGAAAAAAAACATTCCAGGAAGGTAGGTACCATTTGGTAAAACGTTGCATTATTGTCAGTTAAATCGCTATTCTAAAGACGATATGCGATTTGTTTCGAAAGGTGAGAGCGAATTAGAGTAATAAACAGATGAAAGCTTTTGGAGCAGGAAATGAGATAACTCGTGGTTTCCGCGAGCAACGAATCATTCCGTATTACTCATCAGGTTTAATGCTTTCGTAGAAAAGGTTGTGGTTATTCATCGTGGTGAATAACAATAAAAGCTAAGTTTTTCGTTTATCTCACGATGTAGTCACGTGTGATGTAGATCGCGACGTTTCGACTGCATACTGCTAGTCTTCTTCAGGCGATGAGGTCGACTGATCATGCGTGATCTTATAAAGCATGATGCTCTGCTGTGATTAATTGTTGTTCAACAGCTCTGATTGGTGCGTTTCGATCCCTGCTGTTCACTCAGTTTCATTTGCTCCCTCGGCGGTCCGCTGTCGCACGGCTCTCCTGTTGTTATGTTTTTTTATCGTGGGCATCCACGCTTCTGGAATTTCTATTCCACTATCCCTGTTGATGTTGTCAGGGTGAAGTCTTATATGAATTGCCTCTTTGATCCTGAGCGTGTAGTAATAAGGATCACGATCAATAAACTTTACTTCGTTCCAGAGTGGCTTATGTCCAGTGTTGTGAGCATGCTCTGAAACGCAAATGTGTGCTCACAAACAATACCCTATTATACGATTTAACTCATGTCATCAATTACTTTATTGCTTCTCGAGGAGATTACTTTATATTTTTTGCCTACCTTGCAGCTCAATTTCGACAACTTTTCGCCTGCAATATCCCTCATAATCATTCTGAGCCTCACAGGTGTAGTTTCTAAACTGTTCCATAGTCAACCTCTTGAGCATTAATGTGCAGCGTAGCTTTTTGACTTTTGATGTACCCTGCAGGCATTTGGCTCCAACTGGTCTACCCTGAGGATTATACCACTGAATATACTTGGTCCATCTCCTTGGATAAAGCTGGTCGCCATACCTTGGCCATGCTATGCAAGTCAAGTTAATATCTGCACCTACTGTTAATGTGCGGTTTGGCGGACTTGAGAAGATATCCATTTCAGGTATCACTAGACGGAAAAGTTTAAGAAAATTAAAAGCGTGGTCCTCGAGGTAACCTAAATCAATCATAACGATGATTCAATCAATAACTTCATTACAAAGACTTGATTTGTGGATCAAGTATGTAACTTTCGATTTGTAAACAAATATGCAGTTGCTACTAACCATTTTTACTATTGCATCTATTACTCATTTCCTCGGATGAAAGGCTGCTTATAGCGCTGGTAACAAATAACAGCGTGAAGAAGTTGCCAGCGTTTCCAAGCCAATGTGTATTTAGCATTCTGGTCATGGGATGTTCGTCCACTTCCTCGTACAAAAGTTACCTAAATGTAAAATCGTTTGTTTGCTATGGCATAAGGCAAAACGTCTTTTTTAAAACCAAAGCGGGCAGTAGATGATGGAAACTTTCCTTTTCATCAACAGATTAATTGTCAAGTTATTACCGAACTTCCATTGGGGAAATGAGCCGAAGTGCAAAATGACAGTCAAGGGAGAGGGTTAAACCTGCTTTTGAGGATGTGGCTTTATCATTATTACTAGTATCAGACTTGTTATCACTATTTTCATTATCATCATCATTGTTTTTATTATTATTATTATTATTATAATTATTATTATCATTATTATTATTGTATGCGTTTTGGCATATGAGTCAATTACAGTGAGGCCGTGATGGCGGTGGCTATTTCTATTAACCGGGCGAAAATGATCTCATTATTTTCTCTTACTGGTCCAAAAAAAGATAAAAAGAATAGAAGCATAAGACCTCATTTCAGAAAATCTATGCTTCGTGACCAAGAAAATGCAATGAACAAAAATTACAACCAGATGGCTTATAAGTTGTCTCGTGCAAAATGTCATATCTTGTTACCTACGCAACCGATGCTTACGAAACCTGACCAAAATGTAAATTGAAGGTCTGAATAAAGCCTAATGAAAACAGCAGATAGGAGTTCGTCATGGAAAAACTGAAGGAAAAAACGTTCAAGAAATAAGAAAATCTCATTCACTTACCTTGTTATATTTTTATGATTGTTGTTGAGTTTTAAATTTTATATTTTTGACACATGTCATTTCCCACGGGATAATTTAAATGAGTCTTGCAAAAGCTTAAGATGTTCTTCATTTGAAGAAATGTCAAGTTTTCCACTGATCACTCAAATTGCTGAATCTCGATGAGTTTTGGCACTTAGAGACAGCTTTGGTGAGCTCTCGCGAGAATAAAGTATTTTAAAATATAAAAATCAATAAATAGTAAAAGTCGTCATGAGAAAAAGGTCGTTCAACCTACCTCAAGTCTTTTGCTTGCCACAGCAGACAAGACAAAATTCGAATATATTCAATTTTCTAACGTCGGAATAAACATAAAGGAAACAGGTGTTTTTACCAACATATGTCACAATGTAGATCTTTTTCGATCCAATATTATACCTTGCAGGTATATTTCCACCTGTTTGACACTGCATGAGGCCACGCTTAGAGACCATTTAAGCTTCCATTGATGTCCATTAAACATGCAAGAGTGTGTTAAAATGGTTCTCAAGGTTTGGCAGCAACTGCAATAGACATATCTCCATAATTGCTACCCAAGTTTAAAATTTATGACCGAAAAAAAAAACATATAAATGAAAAAACTTATCGTGCGTCATAAGGCATTTAAACTAGCCAGACTTATGAATAATTTTGAGACACTGAATGCAACTTTTTATCTCTATAAGTTCAAAAATTTTTAGATGAAAAAAGAATCATTATCAAATAAAAATATAGAATGGTGCTTTTTGCAGATTTTACAGAGGAGCCAAGCTGTTTTGGCGGGAACTTTGCACGTCGATCATTATCGCCCAGCAGTTAGTTTTCAACATGCGGGGTTTCCACTTGGCTGACATGCACTTAAAGCACATAAAATGATAAAGGGTTATGAGGGTTATTTTCCCAACCAAGCTTTGGTTCCGTCGGTTTTATTGCCCTACAAAGAAAAAAACTTCGAATGACTCATTTATTCGAGGAGTTGACGAGAACGAACACGGATTTCAAAATGGCAGCTTTTTAACGCTTGTCTCATATTTAATCAAGGAATCGATCTCATTAAGCATTTAAATAAACTCTCCATAAAACTGGTGACAAATTTTCTGTATTGATAAAGAAGATAATTGAAAATAAACTCCTGGTCTTTTGGATTGGGATTGGCTGCTCAATGCTAAAAACGCTATAACTGAATTAGCATCTTCACGCCGAAAGCGATTGTAATGTTGACATCGTGAATATGAAAGCGATCTTTGCACTAATGAACTCTACTTAAGCAGTAGTGAAAATAAGGCCTAAAAAATTGTACGGGATTTGAACCCATGACCTCTGCGATACCGATGCAATGCTCTACCAACTGAGCTAACAAGCAAACTGGGAGCTTATCGTTAATTTGGTTCCGAACAAACCCATGAAGTGATGAATAAATGACTGTTATTCCCCAGCTGAGAGGTCCGTATTGGAAAAAACTGTGCCTGAAGTCTTGTGGCACTCAAGAGAGGAGGGCACGTTTTTTTGCCATACGGACCGACCTAGGCTGGTGAATAGCATTTTTATATTTTTTCTAAAACTGAACAAAATACTTAAGAAAAAAATCCCAATGATCTTTAGGCTGTAATAACGGCAAGATCCTCTCTAAACTAAACAATTTTCGAGTAAGCAAATGGTAGTGGAAAGAGGGGTAATGGAAACTAAAGAGAGAGGCTTCACTGAAAGATTTTTATTTATGTAACAGATAAAGGTAATTCAGAAGGCTTCCAAACAAACTTTGAAACATTTCCTTTTTAACAAACATCTGTCACAATCTGATACATGTCAATTAGAGAGCGCGTAAAAATTCAGACAAACAATACTGATTTAGCAAACAAATTCAAGTTTAAAGACTGTCACGACAACTTTTCTTTCAAAAACACTCAGTGATCTAACGGAAATTATTATTTACTGCCATTGACGAAAAGTGTAACAGTACCTCTTCTCAGACAGTAAATGGCAAAGAGAGTTATTGTAGGTAAATTCAATGATAAGTTTTGAAGTTGTGGGAGTTTGCTCGTTTGTTTGCTGTAATGGCGCGTGTAAATCAGGCATTTTTTCACAAAAACACTAAAATCAAATAAGACACGTTAACTAGACCCATGGGGAATTTAATGCGGCTCTTTCTGCTTGAATTAATTCGGTTTTTTGTCGTGCAGTTACTTTACAAAGGGTCAAATTAAACTGACTTGCAAAGACTTACCGAGAGAGTATTTGTCACGTTTTTAGAAGACTGAAAACTTTGCTCACCGTTTCACAACAAAAAAATTGTTTGAGAGAATTTAGATATCAAATGAATGAAAGTTCCATCGATTTATTCAATTGAACACAACGATTTCAATGTGATAACCGAAAATGACCAACGTTTTAACAAGGGTGACCACCAGAGTGAAGACTGGGTAAGGCACCGTCCTCTTTTATTTGCAGCAACTATATGAGAGACTGCAATTCCAGAGTTAGCCTCCACAGCAATACCACGAAGTGTATTTGTAAAAGACTTACCGAGAGAGTATTTGTCACGTTTTTAGAAGACTGAAAACTTTGCTCACCGTTTCACAACAAAAAAATTGTTTGAGAGAATTTAGATATCAAATGAATGAAAGTTCCATCGATTTATTCAATTGAACACAACGATTTCAATGTGATAACCGAAAATGACCAACGTTTTAACAAGGGTGACCACCAGAGTGAAGACTGGGTAAGGCACCGTCCTCTTTTATTTGCAGCAACTATATGAGAGACTGCAATTCCAGAGTTAGCCTCCACAGCAATACCACGAAGTGTTCAAGGTTTTCGACTAAACATTTCAGTGCTACACCATCATCCCCCCAGATGAACGGATGTATAAAAATTATACGCATGGCAACACGTAAGTAATACTAATCAAGAAGAAACTAACGTTAGTGAAGTAGAAGCTCGTTTACATAATGGATCGAGAGAGAAATGAAATATTCAAAGGAACATTACTACTGGAAGGGATATTACTACTCCGTCAAGAGAGCTGAGATGAAAATTAGACCAGTTTCATTTTAGAACGTCCTATTTTGTTTCCAGTTCAACGTTGTTTATTGTAAATTGCTTTTTTGTTAACCAAAATTCACTAAAACGGAGTTATCGTAACAATGAAAACAATTCTGTCTTGTAAAGCAAAAAATCACGAGAATGAGCGGGTCATATTTGTCCATAGTGATTTAGCGGAGAGACTTCAACTTATTCAAAAGAAAATGATCGTAATGGGTTAATACGTATGATATAACGCTCTCAATACTTGTCTCTCTGTCCGGCGAGGTAAATTAATCTCCGTTTTTTTCCATCAGCGTCTAACATATAAGAGAATAAATTACTGACTGAGTCATCGGCTGAATCAGTACACAACGTTATGTGGATTAAATACCTGTATGCAAATAGGCGATAACAATGTAATGTAGCCGATAACAATTCATGATAGACAACAGGAAGATATGTAATTCAAATTAAGTCTAAGCTGAGTATTAAAGGCTAGGAAATTTGTTGACAATTTTCGTTTGGTGCATACCACATTCGACAGTTTGAATGTTTTTGGCATTTCGCATTGCTAGATAGAACTGGCTGTGAATTGCTCCTGGCATGCCGCTAGGCTTAGAGACAAAGACCGACACAGGCAGATGAATAATATGTGAATGATATGAAAAATTACTCCTCTCTTTAAAGTAGAGATTTAATAACGATAGGGAAATCATGAACGAAAGGATGTGTGTTTTAAGTTAGTTTGGCAACTTAGTAAGGGCTATGATTTTCATTCATTATGGCACTTAGACAACTTTTCGTTATTCCGATGGTAACAATGAAGCAACCTTCATTCTGACCCTCAGCTTTGACTTCTTCGTGCACTGAATGAAGGCCTCAGAAGTAGCATGGCTTTCAAACGACGCACGAGATACATAATAGAAAACAGATCCATTCCTAGCCACTATTCAGACCAAAAGTGTACTTTCAATATTCTAACATTTCAATCTGCTAATTGCTTAGTAAAAAATCTTCCCTTTCAAGTCGAGGACGAGAGAATTTTTCAGTCACTGAAATCAGTGACGTTAATAATGGGCGCGTGGAGCGGTACAACAAGAAAAAAATTCTTGCAGTTATTTCAATGACACACACAACAGGTTGTGTCAAAATGGTTTACATCAGCGTTTTCACCAGTCCATAATGGCCTCAAGTTATCTATAGTTAGGCCGCAGCCAGAATAAAAAACAAGTACGATGACTTTATTTTTGTCCGATTTTTGCTGCGGTTTGCTTGTAATGAGTCAAACATCTGCTAAGCAGGAAACGGTGCTGATGGCACTCCAGTCAGTTCCCCACCCACAAAGCATTATAATAGCGTCTACAACAGCCTCTCTTTAGGCACGGTGAACAAGAAGATCGAAACAATTTTTCGGAAAATGAAGAAACAGCTTCCATATGTTCAAAATGACATCGGCATCATCAATGAAAGAAACAACACTTTATCGCGAGGTATAGCTACACAATCGATTATCATTTTTTTCCTTTCCATTTGTTTAGAACTGCTGCTTAGATAATAATGGAAAGCCTATGGATTTTAACCTTTTTTGATCATGACTTACCGTTTATATTTCCAATGAATTCGCCGAAACTCTCCTCAGAGAAATGTAAAAGAAACGTCCAGAAATCCAAAACGACATTGCTGCTATCAAAGAAACAAGACGCTTCCTGAAACTCAAGACAACTCTACTAAAATTATTCTTTTATATAATTCCAAAAAGTTTTCTTTTGTTTTTCCGTTAATTGCAAGATCAAGATGCTTGTCATGTTACCTGCAAAGGTTTAAGTTGGCTCGCGGACAGGCTCTTGCAAGAGGGTCTCAATGGGGTGATGACTTTTACGGCTATCGGTTAAAATTTTGGCCAATTTCCGGCTAACGGTTAACACCTTTCCATTGTTTCCACCAGAAATATTTTTTACGGTTAACTTTTTTTACGACTAACGGTTAAAATTTGTCAATTTTTACGTCTAACGGCTAAATATTTTGGCCGTTTTACGGCTAACGGTTAACCCCATTGAGACCCTCTTGCAGAAATCTGTCAATTTAGAAACGGTTGATGAATTTACCTTTTCTTCCAGCAGTTAAGAAGAATTGAGCTAAGCTTCACAAATCTGGTAAAACAAGCAGGGGTGTTTATACAATCGACCCTGATGGTTCAGGTGCTTTTAACGTCTTTTGTGACCGAACAACAGTCGGCCTGGTTGGGGGGGGAGGGGGTGCTGGACAGTGTTTCAGAAGAGACTGGATGGCTCGGTTGCTTTCCACCGTAGCTGGACTGATAACAAGAATGGGTTTGGTAACCTTTGGTTATTTTTGCTGGGACTGGACAGGATACACCGTCTAACAACAATGAAAAACAAGCTGCGTGAGGATCTTATGGCCTTCAAGTGAAACACTGCGTTTGTACTTTCCAACGTACTTTCTGCACTAACCTAGTCTGTAGAACGATATACAGCAAAACAGAAATTCATGGAGAGTATTGGATTATGGCCCGAGTGTAACGCCATAACGCCACTCTATTGAATCAGATACTAGTAACGTCTACAAAAAGAGAAACTGAAAATGTGAACTAGAGAAAGCCGTGCCAGGGGGCCAGAAAAAACCTACCCTAAAAAACCCTGTGGGAAAAACGGATAGGAAATCTGGAGCGGGCCAGGCACGACTTAGTCCCACGCCGAGACTACTAATTCAATAATTTATCGTAAGAAAACGAAATCCGAAACTAAAGAGCAATAGATCGAGCAACTTTTAAGCGATCATTAACAGTGTGCTTAATGTTTCTGTTCTTTAAAATGGCACATTTCCAGTCAGCGTGCATGTCCAGCAGATCAGCAGAAATACTCCTGCACGCAGGAATTGAAGCGGCGCCAGATTTGATACTATGCGTGTCGTAACTAGCGATGTCTTCTACAAATGGCTAAAAAGTATTTCTCAAATTCCTCTCTAAGCGTCGTGTATGAAACGCCTTTAGAAGCATGAAAATACTTCTTAGACTTAGATTTAACAAGTCGTCTAACGAGGGGGAAGGATGACTGAGTAGATGAAGGAAGAAGCTTGAGTAACCTCTCGGTAATATAAACCAGGCAAGTAGCCTTATGATACCTTGCTAGGAGGGATGTATGCCTCTCCCTACACCGATCATTCTTGTGTTTCGGAATGAAAACTGACATATATTCACTGCAAAGAGAGACATCTTTAACAGACAAAGCACGAATTTCGCCCATACAGTAAAAACCCATCGAAGCCAACCAAGAGAATGAAAAGAAAACGAATAACAGCGAGAGAGCTACTAGAAATATAATGATCAGCGATCCTAAAAACTGTGTCGACGCATAAAGGCTCTTTGAACTGAACGGGACGTGCAAATTTCCTTCCAGCGCCCTCTAAGGATGATTTAACAAGGGGGTGACTAGTAGGGCATTCTACTATCTCGGCCAGACTATGAGCCCACTTAATGCCGTAAAGAACTGACTCTATAGAAGATATCCCCGTATTATTGCTAACTGATATTACAGTAAGCTCGCTAATAAAGAGCGCGACATGCAGAGGCTTTGCTGGAATAACTTAAACGCCAATCTTAGAAGCTGCCCATTGACGCCACTTCAGCCAGCCAGATCTGTATTTCTGCACGGTGGAAGGAGCCCTGGACTCCAACTATAAATGGAGAAGGTTTGGAACAAGCCTACGGAACATTTAGAATCCTTTTCCACGTTGCACACAGCAGACATATGAAAATTTGACACAAGGAAACCTGGAATCAGTTGTGTAGATTGTTAAAATACAGCAATTAACTATGAGGGGGAAATATGTACTCGTACGAAATTATGCTAATCTGTACTGATATAGGTTTTGAGCGCTTTTATGAAATTTATCAAGAAAGAGCCGAGGTCTTCTTTACCCAAAACAAAACCGGTGAAAGGTGGGCACTAATCGAGAACAGACTGGATTCACTGTATTTTGGTCACAGCTGCTTTATGATAAGGTATGGCACGTTACATAGTAAATGGTTTGAGCCCAGGAGTAACTTGTGATAGTTTAGTTTGATCGTCCGAGTGAGTGTAGTCCTAAGAAGGACTGTTGTCGGTAGTGGTGTCTGACGTTTCGAAAACCTAAGCGGAAGTCATCATCAGAATAAAGTGAATAGTTGTTCTAAATCTAATGTTCTAAGTCCGGTTTTTATATACTGATTGGTCAGTTTTGCCGTGATTATATTGGCTGTAAGACTCAAGTGGCATAGTTCGGTCTGGATTCGACTGTAAAGTTGGGTTGTTCTGTCCGTTTCGTTTGTAATCTTAATGTTGTGAATGAGTTGTTTGTATGGTGCCGGTAGTGGTTGACACCTGTTGACGGGAATCTGTTCTAAATTAGCAAAACGGCTTTCCGGAGTCAGTCGTTGAAAGTAATTGGTGCTGTGGGTTAAGCACTACACAGAGTCCCAGTCAATAGTGTGGTTCGTAAGTCGATGATGTTCAAAAATGTGATTGTTGACATCACCTTTCCTCGACGCTCGCTTGTGCTCAGCCAGTCTTGTTGCGAGGTTTCTGCCAGTCTCTCCAATGTGGGAGGCGTGACAGTCGAAGCACTTAATCTTAAACCGCTCCCTTTCTGTTCCTCGGTTCGTCCTTGTCTTTGACGTTTGTCAGTAACTGACGTAGTGTGGTGATGGGTTTGTGGGCCACGCGGATATTAAGTAGTTGTCGGATGCGCGTGATGTCTGTTGTGTTGCGTACTAGTTGCGCCCGTCGCAACTAGTATGCAGAGTCCTGATAGTTGTGGATTTGTGTGATATCGGATTGTAAGATGACTCGTCCAGTAATCTGTCGGTATGTGTCGGTTTCCTGTAAATTGTTGTCCGTAATGATTTGTCGTCACGGCTTACCAGGCAGTTTAGGAAAGGTAGTTTATCATTTCCTACGACTTCTCTGGTAAACTGTATGTAATTGTTTTGTCCATCAAGGTGGTGGTGGAATGCGTTGCTTTCGCCTTGTCGAACGGTGGTAAATGCATCGTCAACGTGGCGTAGTCAAAGTGGTATCGTTTGTCGGCAAGTCGAAAGGGCGCGTTCCTCTTCTGCATCACATGTACAACTGCCGTGTAACTGGTTGTAGTCTTCACTGTTGTACTGAAATTAACTTGAAGTGCCCTAAGGTTCAGTAAGGTCATTATGTTCTTTATCAGTAGTGGTAGAATGGTATATGACGGGATAACTGGGGTAAAGTCCCAGATGCACCCATCACCATCACCAGAATAATTTATGTAAAATGTACGAGATCGTATAAAAAGGTGACAATAGAATGTATTTGCAGTCTGTTAGTTGATTCTTGCGTAACTCGCTGGATGATCGAGCGAAGTATGTCAAATCAAAGTGCGCGGAGGTTATGAAACCACTCAGCCACACAAACTAAGCTGTGAAACCTCCTCTTGTCCACAGACATCGTATTGAGTCGCGCATGTTGTATCCTTTATTTTTCATAGTTTTTTTCAAACGTGATTGGTTATCACCAGCCCAAGCACTAATAGGACAGTGTAAGCGTCATGCTTGTGTCAGTGGACAGAACGCGTCATGAGCGCCCGCTTTTGTCTCACATTTCGCCGAGTTAACTGTGGTTGTTGTTGTTGTTGTTTTTTTTTTTTTATGAAAACCTATAAGCCATGTCTAATTTCTTTCTCAAAATTTGTCAAATTAAGACTCCGTGTCGTCCAAGTCCGTCTGTTATTATACTGGTGATTGACAATCGGGCTACCGCTTTGCGGTCGTCCGAAATTTTACCTAACAGTTCAGAGGTTTCTGTTTCAAGATATTCTCAGTTTATAGCCTAAAAAGGCAACTTCAGTTAATTTGCTCCAAACAAATCCGCATTATGTAGCACCGTTCAGTCAAATTGTTTGCATTTGTAGAGGATATTTATTTTTACAGAGCTTACAGCTTTGTTTTACTACCGGATATAAACTCAAGAAACGAGAACCTAAGATTTTTCCTTGTGATTTCGTGAAAATGGCTTAATCACGAGAAACTGACGTACGAAGATCAGGTCACAAATAGTAATGTAGTTATTTATCTTGTATACGTTATGGTCGCATCTCAACCTTAATTACTTTTCCTCTACAAAAAAAAAATACTGAACTGTATTTTAAGTAAGCACCTGGATTGCTTCGTCTCTGTTCTGCTTTTTGTTGCGAAGCAGTCGTGTCAGTTCCTGTTGATGTCCGGTACAGGCACGTTCAGTCGTCCTGTTGGTACGCAAAAGAGAACTTTATGTTACGCAACAAAGAATAGAGACGAAGTGAGGACAACTTGGTAACGAATATCTCTTCTCGTCCCTTAGACAAGACTGAAATCGTTTTTCCAAGTACCTGACGACAATACTACAACCACTGCCCGACAGGTCCAGACGTAAACTGTAATCCACAGACAAC